CAGCTCCACACTGGAAAGGCACTTTATTTATGATGAGGACATCATCTAAAGCAGCCCGCACATGGCAACTCTGAGTCACAGCCTACTTCCACCGGTGGCAAGTTTATATAGCCGTTAGGATAAATTTGGCTTTAGTGCTATCAATATAAACGGGTTACATACCCTCATATTTTTGAAAACCCTGTGCCTATTTACCTCATTTGGGGGAATTTTTTGAACTCCTATTGGAGTAATATCTGTATACTATGCTTTATGCTTCTGTATACTATGCTGTGGCATGCTTCTACAGCCTCATACATATTTTTAAGGAACCGCATTACTTTCTCACTACTAAGCAATTTTTGGAAACCCAGATTTCGGTCTATATATTCATATATACATAGACTGTATCAAACAGTCTGGACTTTACATATCAATTACCTGGCTGCCCACCCCCATATTCACTTTTTCATCCAGACCTGATATTACTTCAAGTGAGGAGGAGTCCCCTTGATCTTTTGTATGGTAATATTCTTTAGATTTTTACCCTTATTAGTTTCATTCAGGTTTGTTGGTAGCTTCATATTTATGTCTCATATCTATACACTTTTAGAATCACTTACTACTGTGGATACATTTCCATTTGGGGTGGCTATCCAGGAAGGCCATATATCCATCCTTTCATGATGGTCAAGTTTATGAGAAGGTAACGGAATAACATATATACCTGTTATGGGGTTGTTTTGTTATTGCATATGGTTAGTGCATACAGTATATCCTATTTTTTGTTCCCTCTACTATGATCCTTTTTTTCTGGTTTTCCATTTTCAGGAGGAGAAAACACTTTTTGAAGAATGTTCCCCTCATGCAGATATTATATGGAAAATATGGAAATCCTTTGATCTAGTAGTTAGGAACTTCATTGCCTTATGTGGATTCCTGATTGCCGAATATTATTAGATCTGGAGACGCCGAATGTTTCTAATTCAGTGATTTTATAAAGACTTGTTTACCATGTCTCTGTCTAACCTCAGTATGATCCATGTGATCGAATAAAACTTGTTTGTTAATACTTATTATATTACTCCGCTTGGATTTTCTAATAACCACTTTGTGTGAGCAGTACTGCACTCGTCATACTGCTATGTTTTATGATTAGAATATATATTTTTTTTATTGAAATCTGTGTAAAAAAATATTATTAAATATATATGCCGCAGCATAGAGGCCATCCATCCACTGGCCAGCCCAGGCCCCCATGCTTGTTTTTTAACAGCAGATGAAAAATCTCATCCAACAACGTTGCACACACTTACGTATGTTCTGAGAGCAAGACCCTGTTGCTGGCAGAATAAACAGACTGATGCTGCAGCTGAATGTCATTCTTGCAAAAAAAAAAAACAATAAAAGAGTAACTCAATAAAATGACAACTATTTTAGTTTTTTTAGTTTTTTGGGGTGGTTTACTTTTTTAAACTTTTTTTTTTAAACTGACATCCAGATGGTAGGTTCTCTCAAAATGCAATAGCCAGTTTCTTGACTACCTAACATCTTTCGAGAACCTGTGTAAATTTGTACCCTAGACTGTGCCGTGCTGTACCCTATACCAATACTCCACTATGTGTGGTAGCGACAGAAGTAGTCCTTGAGGCAGAGACCAGGTTGGCCAGAACAGCAGGGACAAAAAAAGCAGGTGTCACGCCTAATTCCATTATTATTCCATGTAATTCCATACAGACACAAGATTTTTTTGGGGGTGTCTTTTTGAGTTGGGGTACCAGGAATGGCATCGGGAAAATGCCTCTCATGCAGCTGGTTAACTGCACCTGGGTTGGACCACAGCACCTTCTGGATACAAAAGGGCCATGATCTCTTCCTGAAATTTTAGGAAGGATCCACTTCGTCCAGTTGCTTTGTAAAGCACAAAAGTGTTCTACAGAGCCAGTTGAAATAAATAGACACCTTTTTTGTACCAGCATCTGGCTTTTTGAGAAACTAAGTACGGCTTCATTATCTGATCGTTGAAGTTCACCCCTCCCATGTTAAGTTTATAGTTGTGGACACAGAGGGGCTTCCCAACAGCACCAGCTGCCGTGGAAATTTGGATGGTCGTGTCTGCGTGAATGAAAACATCCCGTTTGTCCTTCCACTTCACTGTGAGCAATTCCTCATTCCCCAAGAAGGCTTTTTCCCCATTTCTAAGACAGTTATTTACAAGCTAATTCCAAGATTGTATAAATGTCTAAATAGTGGCATGTTTGTATAAAAATTGTCCACGTATAAGTGGTACCCCATATGGAAAAAGGGTGACACCAAGTCCCAAACTATCTTTTCACTTCTCCCCATGGAGTCTGGGCATCCGGGGGGGGGGGGGGACAGCTTGTGACTTTTCCCTCGTAAATTCGAAACTTACATGTATAGCCTGTGGCCCTCTCACAGGTCTTTTGACCCCATATCTGGCATGCTTGCTGGTGATAAATTGTTTGACTGCAAGGCGGCCAGAAAAACTGAGGGACTCATCAACACAGATGTTTTGCTAGGGAGTACAGACATCTGAAAATTTTTGGTTAAGGTGATTTACGAGGGGCCAAATTGTGTATTGTCACTGACATGCACTATGTTCTCATATCTATGCCTGGCCATGGCAGCAGAGAACATAGGCATATGATGAATCGGGTCTGTGGACCAATACAACCGCAATTTATTTTTTTTAGTAATGCACAAGTTGAGGTTAGGCCAAAAAAAACCTTTAAAATCAGAGACGGTAATAGGTTTACATACAAGTTGTCTGACAAGGTTTGAATTTTGGTTGGCGGCGATAAATTGTTGGGGAATAGTTAAATTTGCTGCTTCCACCTAAATTCCGCATTGGGCAGTGAATGGGGGAAGTACGGGTGCTGCAGAATTTTCGGGCTGCCAATCAGGATTTGCAAGCACGTCCTGAAGGACACTATGGGCTCTATGGGCCTGTGTGAGAATTCTTGGTGGCTGCGGGACACTACTTGTGCTAGCCACCACACCAGCTTGTACTGCACTTATGGGATTGGCCATGTCACCAAGTGATACTGCAGTACTGGTATGTAAAAGACCAGGATATATCCACTGGTGCTCGCCAGTTCACCCAAAGGTAGAGTGGCACTAGTACTTGCACTTGTCACAATCATGCACACAGGGAGAGGTGCAGTTCTCCATTTTGCTCCAAATTTCTACATTGTGGTATTTCTCTTAAACTAATATGCAGTCACCTGAGAGGGGGAGGTGTAGCAGCTCTGGTGTTCAGGCACAGCTCTCACTGTATTAAGAAGGTTTCATGTATCTCCTCATTCCCCCTCCCTCAGGAATTCAACCAGCGTATGATGCTGAGGCCCTGCCTAACAATTCTTTGCCAAATAAGGCTTGGCTTGACCATTGTGGGAAGAGATTTTGAGTAGAAAAACGAAGTGTTATGTTTGTGTTCAGTCAGAAAAAGTGAGGACTTGCTGCGTGCACCATCTCGCAGGAAAAAGAGTTGAAGAATTCTCCCATTGCCCATCGAATCAAAGCACCCTTCTTGTCAGGAATGGACTTTCCAGTAATGGTGGGACCCACCTGCCTTGTGGGCTGCAGTACCAAGGCTGGCCAGTGGGTGCTCCCGGCAATCAGAGACTCAACCCTGCAGCCAGCCTAACACCTGAAACTGCTTATGCAGGTGTATTTAAGTAATGGCCAGACCTGCAGTCTTTGCCTTGGTGTGTGTGTTTTTCCTGGGCCCTGTATCTTGTTCCTGCATTCCTGTTCCTGTCTCTGTCTGATTCGTTGCTGACCCTGCCTGATTCCGGACCTCTGATGACTTCTCCTGTTTCATCCCTGGCTTGTGACCCCGACCATTCTCTGCCTGACCCCCTGTTCCTACCTGCCCGATTGTTATTGACCCGGCCTGCCTGACGACGCTTGCATTGTATATATTGTTATCTGTGGGTGGTTTGGTTTGTTGGCACTGTGTTATGTTTAGTATTGCACTGCGTTTATGTTTGTATTGTTAGTCTTTAATAAATTGTCTTATTGTTTATAACATATCTGAAGCCTGCGTTTCCCTGCGTCAGTCACATACCTCTGGTCACACCCCGGAGCCCTGACATTACACCAAGGCCAATCCTGACCAGAAGTGGCTGCACAGGGAAGCCATCTTGGCTTATTGTTGCTGGGAAGGATGGATATTGATGAGGTTGTGTATTTATCTCTGCTAGTGTTTGATGACAGAGAGTATGCTTATCAAACTCTGAAGGAGTATCCCCGGGATGAACTGCTAGAATGTATACGGATCGCTCATGTTCTAGTAGATCAGGGCACAGAATTCTCTGAGGTGCAGCCATTGATTCAGGTTTGTGCTGAGTTGGTTTCATCTGGTACCCCCCCGAATGCAGGGATGAATTTTTGCCCCCATTTAGTGCAGACCAGGTAGAGTCCCTGGTATGGTTATATTGGAGGATGATGTGGATTACTTTCTGGAGCGTTATTCTGCATGTTCACCACAGATACTAAGAGATTGTATAAACGCAGTGCAGTCTTTTTGGTCAGACAGGCTTTGTGTAAGCGGAGCTTTGTTCAACCCATACTGCAGACATGGTCAGACTTGTTGCACCCAGCCTCAGTCAGCTTGCAAAAACCCAGTCCTGCTTCAAATCTATTTCTTCAAAGCTCAATTCCTGCATTCCCAACAGCACCTCCAGTTTCAGCCCAGTATACCCTGCTATCTACCGCATGTCAGTACCCTGTTCCCACTCGCTGCACCTATCCCTGCCTTTAACCCTGTAAAGAAGTCCTCTGTAGCAACTGCTCCCTCCTCTGTTCCATCTTCCAGCTCTTCTCTGTCCTCAGCTGCTCCATTCGTTTGCAGACCTGCGTTTACTTGCAGTACCCCAGTAGTTAAAACCAGAAAAAAGCGGAAATTCTTTCCAACCAGTACCATCCTGCCAGTATCCAAACCGGTGAGCCTGCCGTCTGAGAACCTGCCTTCCGTGGTTCAGCCTGGTGCCTCAGCACCCGCACTTCAGCCTGATGTCTCTACCCGGCCTGATGTCCGTACCCAGCCTGATGAACTGATCCAGCCTGATGAACTGATCCAGCCTGATGTCTGAACCCAGCCTGATGAACTGATCCAGCCTGATGAACTGATCCAGCCTGATGAACTGATCCAGCCTGATGTCTGTACCCAGCCTGATGTCTGTACCCAGCCTGATGTCTGTATCCAGCCTGATGTCTGTACCGAGCCTAATGTCTGTACCCAGCCTGATGAACTGATCCAGCCTGATGATCCTATAACGCCTGATGACCCGATGCCCGCTGTCAAGCCAGACGATCCAGCGCCAGATGACCCGGTACCTGATGACCCGGTGCCCGCCGTCATGCCTGGTGACCCGATGCCCGCTGTCGGGCCAGATGATCCAATGGCTGACCCAGTGCCCACGGTCATGCCAGTTGACTCGGAGCCCACTGTCGTGCCTGGTGACTCGGTGCCCACTGCCTTGCCAGATGACGCGGTGCCCGGTGGCGAGCCAAATGACCTGATGCCTGGTGACCCAGTGCCCGCTGTCATACCTGGTGACCCGGTGCCCGCTGTCGATCCAGACGATCCGGTACCTGATGACCCAGTGCCTGCTGTCATGCCTGGTGACCCGATGCCCGCTGTCGAGCCAGACGATTCAGCGCCAGATGACCCGGTGCCCGCTGTCGTGCCAATTGACTCAGAGTCCACTGTTGTGCCTGGTGACTCGGTGCCCACTGCCTTGCCAGATGACGCGGTGCCCGCTGTCGAGCCAAATGACCTGATGCCTGGTGACCCAGTGCCCGCTGTCATACCTGGTGAACCGATGCCCGCCGTCGAGCCAGACAATCCCATGCCTGATGACCCAGTGCCTGCTGTCATGCCTGGTGACCCGATGCCCGCTGTCGGGCCAGATGATCCGATGTCTGACCCAGTGCCCACGGTCATGCCAGTTGACTCGGAGCCTACTGTCGGGCCTTATGACTCGGTGCCCACTGCCTTGCCAGATGGCGCGGTGCCCGCTGGCGAGCCAAATGATCTGATGCCTGGTGACCCAGTGCCCGCTGTCATACCTGGTGACCCGATGCCCGCTGTCGTGCCAATTGATTCAGAGCCCACTGTCGTGCCTGGTGACTCGTTGCCCACTGCCTTGCCAGATGACGCGGTGCCCGCTGGCGAGCCAAATGACCTGATGCCTGGTGACCCAGCGCCCGCTGTCATACCTGGTGACCCGATGCCCGCGGTCGAGCCAGACAATCCCATGCCTGATGACCCAGTGCCCGTTGTCATGCCTGGTGACGCGATGCCCGCTGTTCGGGCCAGACGATCCAATGTCTGACCCAGTGCCCGCGGTCATGCCAGTTGACTCGGAGCTCACTGTCGTGCCTGGTGACTCGGTACCCACTGCCTTGCCAGATGAGGCGGTGCCCACTGGCGAGCCAAATGACCTGATGCCTGGTGACCCGATGCCCGTTGTCGTGCCTGATGACCCGGTGCCTGCCGTCCCTCCTGGGGGCCAGGTGCCCGGCGCTCCGCCTGGGATTAACCATGTAAAACAGCATGTTGTCTGCATTCGCCGTTACTTTATGCTCTACATCCCTTATCTCAATTTCCTTTACATCTACATTCCCTCGAACAGTCGCCAATAACGGTTCCAGTGATATCACATAGAGTAATGGAGAGAGTGGGCATTTCTTGTCTAGTTCCATTATGCATTTTGAAAAATTGTGACAACATGCCATTTACCTTGATTGCAGCAGTTGGGGAACTGTATAACGTTTTAATCCATTGCATCATCCTAGGTCCAATACCCAAGACTTTCAATGTATCAAACATAAATCCCCAATTTACCCTGTCAAAAGCTTTCTCGACATCAATTGATAAAACAATTGGTTTTCTTTCCTACTTTTTTGCAAAAGCATTAATATTCTCAAACCGTTATCTCTTCCTTCTCTCCCTGGGACAAAACCCACTTGATCTGTATGAATCCATTCTGGCATCAACTCCTTCATGCTATTTGCTAGTACTTTTGCATATAATTTGGTATCTATAATTAGTAACAATATGGGCCTGTAGCTAGCTCATTAGGACAGATCTTTCCCTTCTTTCGGTAAGATTGTAATGTATGCCTCACCCAGAGCATTAATGTATACACACATCTTAGATACAAGTAATTCCTTAAGGGCTGCATAAATTTCTTCCTGCGTAATGGGTTTATCCAGGGCGGCTAATTTCTCTTCTTTTAATCTAGGTAATCCCGCCTCTTTTAGATATGCCTGTATTTTACTCTTTCTTTCTTCTACCCACTCCTTCATTTTTTTTAATTTAATTTCATATAGCTTACTATAATATTGTTGGAACATTTTAGTGATCTCAGTGGTTGAATATGCCATTTTCCCATTCATATCCATGATTTTTTCAATATAATTTCTTGATTTATTTTACCTCAGTTTTCTCATCAAACATTTTCCTAGTCTATCCCCCCACTGATATCGCTCTTTGGCTGCCATGTTAAAAACTTTTTCCCTTCTTATGTTGTATCTCCATTTCTGTCTTTGCCTTATGCAGTTGTTATTTAATCATATAATTCCTTAATTAAATTGGTCTTTTCCTATCCCCCGTTCTTTCTTTTTTTTGCCCCATTGAGATTAAAACTCCCCTAATGTAGATCTTATGCGCTTCTCAGATAGTAGTTACAGAAACCTCCTCTGTCTCATTAAACATAAGATATTCCTCCAATTCCCTCTTTAATCTGTTTTCCATCTCCTCATCTGTAAAAGATACTCATTTAATCTCCACATGCTACCTCCCCCCCCCCTCTCTCCGTCCCACTTTAATCTTGTTATAGCCGGTGCATGGTCTGCTATCGTCATTACTTCAATTTTAGACTTTACCAAGGACCCCAAGATGGATGGGTGACACGCGCTGGAATGACGCTGCCCTGCGTCACCAATTCCGGGTCGGACACTCAGAGGCCCTTAAAAATGAACTGGCCCGAGTGGACCTCCCAGAGTCTCTAGAGGATCTAATCTCCCTGGCGATCCAAATTGATTGCAGGTTGCGGGAACGCCGGTCTGAGAGGTCTGGCCAGGGTCAAGGAGTTACATGGGCACCAACCAGAGGTGCAGGTCAGTTAACTTCTACAGACAATCTATCATCCATTCCAGTGGACCCCCCGGAGCCCATGCAGTTGGGGCTGGCTCGGCATACCCTGTCCCCTGAGGAGCGCCAACGAAGACGTTCCAGGAATCTTTGCTTCTACTGTGGAGAAGCCGGGCATATAGTGCGGTCCTGCCCGGTGAAAGCACGTAAGTGAAGATCTTAAGTTTCTCCCTGTTCTATTGGGAACATGAGCCAGTTTAGTTACTTAGCGGTACCCCTCTTCTTTCAGCTCCCAGGAAGAACCGTGGAAACGACGGCTATCATTGACTCAGGGGCATGCAGTTGTTTTGTGGATCTTGATTTTGCATGTCAGCAAGAGATTCCTCTACAGGCCAGAAAATGGGGTCTCAATTTGTTTTTAGCTGACGGCTCCCGGATTAGATTGGGGTTGGTAGATCAGGAAACCCCCCCTATGCTTACCACCATAATGGGACACCACCAGGAGCTTTTACGTTTTGACGCCATCGCGTCACCCCTTTTCCCAGTGATTTTGGGACTTCCATGGCTACAGGCCCATAACCCCCAGATCAACTGGGAAACCGGATCACTCAGTTTCCTTTGGGCATATTGTCAGGAACACTGTCACGCCTCAGGGCCTGGGGCCCCGCCAAATTCTCCTGTGTTCCGAGGAGGATCCCAGTTTAAAACAGGTGGTTCCAGCAGCTTACCATGACTATCTTGATGTTTTTAGTAAACGCGGGGCCGACACTCTGCCTCCTCATCGCCCATATGACTGCCCAATCGACCTGTTGCCGGGATCCGAGATCCCTTTTGGCCGAATCTTCCCTCTGTCCGAGGTAGAATTGGGGGTTCTCAAAGAATATATAGATGAGAACCTCCAAAAAGGATTTATCCGCCCCTCCACCTCACCGGCAGGGGCAGGAATTTTCTTTGTTGAGAAAAAGGATAAATCCCTGAGGCCCTGTGTGGATTATCGGGAATTTAATAGGATCACGATCAAAAACCGTTATCCCTTGCCTCTGGTACCGGAGCTTTTTCAAAGCTTAAGGTCCGCAGCTTGTTTCACCAAATTGGACCTCAGGGGGGCATATAATTTGGTTCATATCCAGGAGGGGGACGAGTGGAAGACGGCTTTTTGCACTCGGTTTGGCCACTTTGAATACCTAGTGCCCTTTGGACTCTGCAATGCCCCGGCCACTTTCCAACATTTTGTCAATGATGTCTTCAGGGACTACCTTGACATCTTTGTCATTGTGTATCTTGATGACATCTTGATATTTTCACCCTCACTGGAGACCCATAGGGTTCATGTGACAAGGGTCCTGGAGCGCTTGCGCCTACACGGCCTATACGCCAAAGCTGCCAAATGTAGCTTTGAACAGCAGAGTATTTCCTTTTTGGGTCTGATCATCTCCACCGCGGGGGTTGCGATGGACCCCCAGAAGGTCGCGGCAGTTCTTGAGTGGCCAATCCCTACTGACAAGACAGGCGTCCAACGATTCATTGGATTTGCCAATTTCTACAGGAAATTCATCAAGAATTTTTCAGGTCTGGTCTCCCCTATCACAGAGCTAACCAAGCTAGGAACCCGCTTCAAATGGACACCAGAGGCCCAGGCGGCGTTTGAATCTCTAAAGAATCTATTTACCACGGCACCCATCCTGGGCCACCCGGATGCAGCACTACCATACGTACTGGAAGTAGATGCATCCGAAAATGCAGTAGGATCAATTCTGTCCCAGAGGAAGGGCCCAAAGGAGCTTCTACACCCGGTGTCATTCTTCTCCAGAAAACTTACCCCAGCTGAGCGGAACTATGACATCGGTGCATTGTCACGACCACCCAATGGCAGGGCACTTTGGATTGGCAAAAACCCTGGAGTTGCTTAGACGCACCTTTTGGTGGCCTAACATGGCTGGAGACTGTGAACGATACGTCAGATCATGTACCATCTGTCAAAGAAACAAGCCACCTAGAAGCAAGGCCTGGGGGCTATTACGTCCATTACCCATACCTGTTTGTTCCTGGCAGATGATCGCTATGGATTTTATAGTTCAGCTTCCCCCGTCCCAGGGCCATACCACAATTTTTGTCATTATTGACCGCCTGTCAAAGATGGCCCACTTTTTGCCTCTGAAAAGCACCCCATTCGGCATTAGAGACCGCTCAGATTTTTATCCGAGAAGTGGTCATACTACATGGGGTTCCGGAAGACGTCGTGTCAGATCGAGGAGTTCAATTTACTTCCAAGTTTTGAAAGGCTTTATGTAAAGCACTTGGCATCGAACTGGCTCTCTCTTCTGCGTTTCACCCCCAGACCAACGGGCAGACAGAAAGGACCAATCAGACCCTGGAACAATATTTAAGGTGCTATACGTCCTTTTTATAAGACGATTGGCTGACACTCCTGCCTTCGGCAGAATTCGCATATAATAATGCAAGTCACTCAGCCACGGGACAATCCCCATTTTTTGCAAACTATGGGTTTCATCCCACCTTCTTGCCTGATTTTATAGCCGAGAGCGCAGTTCCAGCCACCCAAAGTATGATCAACTTTTTTTCTGACAATAATAAGTTACTGCAAGAAGCCATGGCTAAGGCCCAGGAAGACAATAAGAAGGCCTTTGACAAGAAGCGAAGGGGGGAAACTG